ACTCTGCCACCATGCCACCCCTCATAGCTTAAGCGGTTTTGAAATCATCAGATATCATTAAGCAGATACAGGCTAATTGGAAGAAACGTCGGGGTGGGAGTTTTTGGCACTGTGTTATTTATTTGAATGTGTTCTCTTTTTTATTATTATATCATTCGTGACTGCTCCCGAGAACGCAGACTGGTCAGTGTAACCCTGATGTGAAATCACCATCTGTGCTTCCACTGTGTTGTTATGGTTCATGAAAACCAAATAGTGTCGGGTAGGGCAAACATAAAAGCGCGTTTACAATACCAAGAGGCCACGACGACTGCCAACACAGTCCCTTGAATTTGTATCTCCATTTTTGTCGGCATCTTCACTCAACTACTGTAGCTATTGACATAATACACAGCATCTGTTTTTGTAATGTACGAAATTAAGTTAAAACATGTTTCGCCAATCCCGGTCATCGGATGAAGGCCTCAATTCCCACGTTTTTTTATTTATTCACCATACTTCACCATGATGATCAGTGCGAGTTGGTGAACGGGGGTGCGGAGGAAGGGCAAGCCCGGTTCTGATATCACTTGGGCACTGCATAGCCGTGGCCAGAAATCAAACTCGGGTTGCCAGGTTCATAGTGCAACACCTACGATTAGCACGTTTGGATACGTACAGTGGGAAAGAAGTTCAAAATAAATATATGCAGCACGCTAACCACTACGTCACCCATATCTTGTATATGCGTGGGAATATAGCGTATATGTCTGTTGATATCTTTGGAGAATTTTAACAAAACACAGAATGTGTTAAATGAACTGATCTAAGCTCTGATTCATTCTTACCTTTATAATGCCATTCGAATAGAAACTAGCATTAGCAATAAGATGCTGTGCCAAAGGAATTTTATCAGCGGTGACATTTTAAAAACGTTATCTTTAGCATAATGGCAATAACAATCTGTCTGAATGTGGCCAGGGGGCCTGGGGTAGAGACAGGGTAAATTGCATTGCAAGCATTTAATATGTCACGGGATGGGCAATTGTGAGATCGCAGTACCTTTCCTGCCTAATAAGATAACGAAATGAGGTGGCTTCCTGTCGGAAAAAAGCGAACACACATCCCAGAGCACTGAGTCAGCACCGCAGAGAACGCAGCTCCAAATGCAAGATCCCACACTCGATTAAACTGGGTTCTCAAGAGCAGTGACTTTATGGCCGAAGCCTAGTCAGCAATGATCAAACATAGCAGCGTTTTAATAGGACTCTGCACTGAATTTGTTCCTTCCCAGCTTTCATAGACTGTTTTTTTATCGCAAAAAATACGCAGAGAACACATAATCTGTTCGTCTATCCAGTTAAAAGAGACACTTTTAATGGTTAAGGTAAGATAAGCTCTGGTAGGGTATCCGGCGAAGACCCGTGTGCGATGCGACTTCTGGTAAATGTCCCAATCTGATGTGCATCTCCACAGAACGAAGGTGCGCCAGGAAGGCGGCAATGATTACCCCTGGTGTCGAGATGCACATAGCACAATGTGCTACAGTCGTCAATTAAATGTGACTACAAAAATATGAAAAGTGGAGCATGGTAATCAACACAGCGAGTGCTCTTTATGTATGTTAACGTGTGTACAATATACAACATCTGTTTATAAATGTAATGCCTTTGTTGAATATTGTAGAAGAATAATTATCATTCTTTGTAACATCAATCTTACCCAGTGTATAATGGTTGTCTTTAGGACCACAAACTTGTGGTAGTTGTTGCGTGTTATTTCAGTCTCAACTGAAAAGACTCAAGACACCAACTTCTCTGCAATGAACCCCTACCACACCGCACTACGAGTCGACATTTCACGTAAACATTCACAACTCGGTCCATCCACCTCCAAGGGCTCTCTCTCTCTCACCTTCCCTGCAAATAAGATCCCAAGCCCGGCCCTTTCCCTCAAGCAATCCGCTACGTTCACTTCATCAAGTCCGCATGCGCATCGCGACACCAACCAATGTAGCGCTCACGATGAAAATCGAGGGATAGTTTTTCAAGGCGCATTATGAAGTGGCAGTCACAAGTTCAAATCCTGGTCGGGGATCGGCTCGGCACATACCCTCCTCCTCGATTTTTTATATATATTAAAAAATAAGTAGCAATTTGTGGGAAGTTAACAGTAGTTATCCCATGCATATATTGGTCTCGGTCACGTAAATGTGGACTTTTCAGCATCGACTCAGGGCCACGAACAGAGATGAGCACTGTCCTGTGCTATTGGCGCACAGATTCTGAAGCGGGGTTCGGCGATATGAATGATGACAATTTGGCATGGTGAATAATATGCTAATTATTAAATATGACACAACTAGCAACCCACACGTCGTTTGGACGTGACTGTCCGTCCGTCCTTCCCAGCCAGCAAAACGTTTTGATCTTATATCGAGAGCCCTGCCTTTCTGCACTTTCCTCTTGCCTTCGATGTTCTGTCAATCGCAATGTATGGTGAACTTCTTCCACAGTGTACGTAACCAACCGTGCTAATCGGAGGTGCTCTGTCTCGCTTTGCCTCTGCTTCTGTTTCTCTATTCCTCTGTCTCCTCTGCTACCCCTCTCTCCCCGGCTCTAAATTTCTCTCCCCCCCTCCCCTCCACTGAATGTCACTCAATTCCCTCCCACATCTCTACCTCCCTAGTTCTTCTCTCTCTCTCGCTTTTTTTAGTAGTTTTATTCATGCTTAGCATTATATCCACAACGACACAATGCGGGAAGATTTTGCAATACATACATTAACCCAGTGTATGGCATGCAATTAACAGGTAACAAGTGTTAGTCATAACAGTTATCACAAAGTGCTCAAGATATTCAAACTGAAGTTGAGGATGAGTAAATAGTAAAAATGTTGCATGTTGGTATAACGTATTGCTTATTTCCGGAAAAAAACGAGGGTGTTTTTACCTTAATTTCAAAAATAACAAGTACAGTGTTTACATCTTACAGGCAGACTTGTAACATACACTGAATGTCTTGCATTAACAAATCAACTTGTGAATGTATGGGCCATATCAGATACATTAGCACTTTGTAACATTCGTGATGGCTCATCCTTGCTAATCAAGTAACGTTTAATGTTACTCTCTCTCTCCCTCACTCTCTTTATCCCCACCTCTCAATCTCTCTTTCCTCTCCCGAATCCTCTCTCCCACTGCTTGTCACGTTCCCTCACTTTCCTCTTTCCGTTTTGCTCTCTCTCTCTCTTTCATCTCTGTTCCATGGCCCTTTCACTCTCTCCCTGCCACTCCCTTCTCTGGACATCTGTAAAAAAAAGCTTTATAGCTCATCTGATTCCTCCAGCACGAATACATATTCTGACTCTGATTGTGTCCTTCTCCATCTCGTCTTCCCTCCACTTTCTCCCTCCCCTAAACTCCCTCCTCTATCTCCTCTTTCGCATTCACGCGGGATGCACGCCAGGGTGGAGGTTGCGGGGGGGGGGGGGCGTGACGCCAGAATGCAGGAATCAGGCTCACGCATGTGCGATGCGGCTGGCGTCATCACATGCATGTGCGCGGTGACGTAACCACCGCGTACGGTGCACTTGGCCGCTCGCCAAAGCAGGCAGACAGGAATCCAGGCAGGAGTCCAGAAAGAAAAGTTTTTTATTTCTACTCTAGCGTGATGTTAACAACGCACCATACGATCGGATGCAGACGGCTGTGTATTTCTGTTTGCACATTGTACCGATTTGGATTGACCAATACGCACTGACCAGTGTGGCTCAGCATGGGCTAAAAGCGGCTCCAAGACCGACGGACACAACGGACACATTGTGGGGAGGAGACCTTTATCCATTGATCGATTGAGAATTTCTGAACTGTATTTAATTTGTTTAATAAAATGTTTGGGAAAGACCATATCCGGTGTGCAGTCAGTGGTGGACATTCCACATTTCCAAGGCAGAGTCCAAGCTTCTCAAGAGACAGTCACTTTAATTTCACATCCTTGAATTGTAAACTGATGATGCTTCCTTAGACACAACCACGTCATCCTGCTAAGGAAGCACAGCGTGCTCCTTGCACGGAACCTGGTGACATGGCGGTGGTGACACTTGGGGCAGTGACATGGCCCAGCATCAGCGCATTTGTACCGCTTGTTGAATGGGTGAGCGGTTCGAGTTCGCAAGGCAGCGCTAGTTATTCCTGCGGGTCTATTAACCCTTTCCCGTTCCGATGTCTGCAAAGTTGCAGGGTGAGTCCCGTTCACCGCTGAATCTTGGAAAGCGAAAGCGGATAGCCTTAATTTTATTTTGAGAGGCGCAGCGCCGCTGATTTAAAGAAATTGTACTGTGCTCACCGCGGAGAACTGTAGCGAGACGCACTCTATTATAACTGGTGCCAAACTGTGCCACATGCCCTGCCCCATGGCCTATTACTTCCGAATCCATTCAGATTCGATTCGATTCCGATGACGTACACGTTCGCAAAATCGGAACACATTCGGAAGAAAAAACGCTGACGCACACGTACACTGTACACATACGTCATCGGAACGGGAAAGGGTTAACTGTAAAAAGAAAACGTGCCACCTCTGTCTTGTGAAATATTACACGTAGTCATCTGACTATCAGTGCGCCGGTGTAAATTTTTTAAGATTTCCTGCAAATCACTCAATTGGGATTACAAGTAGCAACACCGACCCCCCCCCCACCATACGCAGACGCTACTGCAGACCGTGGCTGTGCAACATAGTGCCTGCGCGACAGCCTCCCTTGCGCTACGCGACTGGCGCAAATACCAAATGTACGAATGGTCTCAACGGCTAAAAACAATCGTTATGCTCATGATATGTGCATCGCATAGTTCCAGGAGAATAACATGTTTGTAGGTACTTTGAACTTATTTCGCACTGTACGTAGCCAACCGTGCTCATCGGAGGCGCGAACGATAGCGACTATACGAGCGATAGGGACTGTACCAACGATAGCAACAATACCAATTGTAGTAAATTACGATGTATCATTATCGTTACTTGTATGATCTTGGTGATGAACCAGGGCGCAGGCTCCAGGCGCTGCTGAGCAATCACATCCCTGATGGCCACCTCCAGGTCCCCGTGGTCGGGGGTCGGGGGCTCCACCCCAGGGAAGAGGTCCGAGATGATGCTGTTGAAGAGCGCGATGTCGTGCGAGAGGAACTGCGAAGACAAGGGGAGGACACGATGGCAACGCTCTTTCCTTCACCTCCCCAAGTGCCCACGTGACTTGCGAGCATGGCTGGCAAGCCGGCAATAAGAATGCCCAGGTAATGTATAATTGTCTTTTGAGTTGTGATCATACCTTGAGATAAGAACATAGAGGTCATGCTCTCTCTTAGAGGTCAGTACTAACAGCAGGGTTTCACATCGATATACAAGCACGTGGTGAGGCAATCGCCATCCAGCGCTAATAAAAGCAGGAGGAGTTGTGCTCACAACAAGGAGCAGGGCACCGGGCTCAGTGGGGAGCACAGGTGATGCATCTGCCGCTCACGTCAATCAGTTAACGCAGCGTGACCTCCTGCCAGCAGCGAGCCTTCGACACTTCACGTGGCCTCAAAGTGCCGCTGGCCCGGCACAAGGACGGCGCTGAAAGTCGTCAATGGAGAATGGCGGATGTCATTTGTTGTTGTTGTTGTATTCAGACACGTCCGTGCACATTTGCATATGGGAAAGTTTTTTGTTATTGTTGTATAGGGGTTTGCGTGTGCAAACGTGCAAGTGTGTGTAAGTGCTGTTATGAAATTGCTATTTGTAATAACGTATAGTTAGGCGTATTACTTTAATCAAATATGTACGTATTAATAAAGGAGTAAACAGGGACATGTTCGCAGCATCGCAAGCAAAATAAAGAACTTCTAAAAATATCCCAACTTGTTTTAAGCTTCATCGCCAGACCTCCTTCGGCTCATTACCCTGAGCTCTCACACCCAGCCTCGGCATTCACATTCCATTTACACACAAAACCGTCGCCAATTTGGGGCAATTTTATAGGTCTCTCGGTTTCTCCCGACCTAGGAATTACTCCGCAAAGGAGGTCAGGTCACGGGAAGCAATGCACTCACTGGAAACTGCACCAATCTCATTAGGCATGCGTGCACGTATCGGTAATCTGACCGACATGAAAATAATTTCAGATACCGCCTCAGAAAAACTCTTGGCGATGATTTCAACGGTTCAATAACAGAAAATGATGGTTTTGTTTATTTTCTCTATACTTAGTTATAAGTATAGAACAAAACATATGTCTTTTTAGATTATAGTATTGTAGTATATAGAGTTATCATGATTTAATTTAACCCTCCACTCTGTGCCTAGTCACGAGATAAACTTCCATCACCAATGAGATCACGATGTCTCAATCCAGGGTGCCGCTGCACGTAAGTTGATCTCATCGCTCCACCTCCAACGGTGGTCATCCTCTCCTGTGTGAGCCCTTTTATTTGGCTGCCATTCCATCGCAAACCGTGCTCAATGAAAGACGGCTTCAGAAATACCCAGAGGTAATCTTCATCATGCACGTGCATGCATTCAAGCGTGAAGTATCAGCATAGTGGTCAGTGCATCATGCTCCAAGGTCAATTCATGACCACACACACATACACAATGAGCGGAAAGTGTTTTACGAACTTGGCCTGGGCATCTCCTAGGTTGACTTAGCCTGCAATGAGTACTTCGGGCAGTGTGTGGACATCAGCACTAGAGGACACAGGTAGTCAGAGTTATGTTGGTTACACCACCCTCTTAATAGCTGCTCACTAACAACACTGCCAGAGCACCTACCATGTGGTTTGGTTCTACATCGTACGATGTTCCTTCGTTCTTCGCGAGGAATACATTCCAAAGATGCTCGTGAAACTTTTTGTTTTGAATTACCTTAAACAAATACATAAATAAGCTATTAAATACATGGAAATTATCTCATCACTTTATTTCTCATAACTTTATCTGATCACGTGATCTCATCACTTTCTTTTTCTCCCTCTCCATTGCGGCAGTCACGTGTAGAGCTCCAGATGGGAATTGCGGATAGCCAAAATCGTAGATAGCAAGTTCGTGAATAACGAGGCAATACTGTACGTGTAAATACTCTACCTGAATATGGTAAACTCACACTGTGTGGCTCCAGCAAGTCTCTCCCCCGACCCCTCACTCCATGTAACTCCACTGACAGTGGTCGGATTGGGATTCAATTCTGGCCACGGGAAGGTGCCAAAATCTTGTCTCTAGGATATTTTATTGGAACTGTTAGCACGTAGCCAGGCTTATCATCTTCCACCGCTATTAATCAGGCTGACAGGAGTGCCCTAACTGATGTCACTGTTCCTATTACTCACATTTCGCCATCCTCCAGGGTCTGCAGCTGAACAAAAGGATATCCTGGAGGAAATCTTAGATTTTTTTCCTTCATTCATATAGAAATACAAGTGTGCATAACTGTGACATTTAAATTGTTACACCATATCACAAAATCAATTAAATGATTGATGCGCCCAAGCCAGCGCGTGCAAATGAGAAACAGATCTCTTGCAGGTGATTATAAATAACTTTTAGTTTTTAATGCCACATTTTAAGCTGCGTTTGAGGACCACAATGCACTAACGAGAACAATGCAAATACGTAGAATCCCGTCAGCAGAGTTCAGTTGAATCTTTTTTTAATGAACATACATCCACCCTTAAATGCCACAAACAGGCAACTTCCTTTTTTATATTTTATGACACTGTATCCAGGCTCGAGGACACGCAATGGCAAGGGCTACACTTTCAAGGTTGTTGACAACCTTAAAACAGTGGTACACATTCTACATTGCTATGGCAGGCTTTACATAGAACAAACTACTATTGTCTTCCTATCGTGCTACTGATTTGGTGCTATTCCGAGATATGATGGGTAGAATAAAACCCAGCCAGGAATTTGAACTCGCAAGCATCCAATTGTGTGCCAATCACAGTCCCATCCAACCTGAAACCTGAAATGAATTTCCACGACACCCAAAGATGGTCCATTGCACCAGTCTTGTTCATCAACGCACCTGAGTGCCAGTTCTGTCAGCACAGACTCTCTTGGATTGTCATTTCAGTGCTGCTTGCCGCGGGTTTGTTGAAGGGCTCAGCTGGCTACTGGGTGTAAACGATTCACGGTCTAAGCCTTTCGATGGATTATCTACGGTACCATTTTTTGCCGGTATCAAAATTATGTGTGAAAAAAAAATGTGCCATAGATATAACTACTCGACCCCCGAGTTATTATCATTGCCTTTGCGCTGTTCGACTTTTTGCCGTTCTATGATCTAACACCAGTGAGACAAGGCCACAATGGAGACCATCTCCGATGTAGGCCAATCACTTTCACAGACAATGCAAACATTATCACAGCACGTTTGTTTGCATGTTTTACCACAAACTTGTGCGGATAATGTATACTTGATGCAATAGGTGTCCATTTGGCCGTGTCGGGTGGTGGAGGGTTACGACACATTCATAAATAACGCGATCTAAACCCAAAAACGTTGATTATGAATAATATTGGTCGCGAAAGCCTACGTGTTAAACTGTCCATTTGGTGTTTGAATATCTTACCACTGGTATTATTGCCAGAAAAGGGTAAGGCCTATTCCTTGGTCATTGATGTGATGGATTGTCACAGTTCAGGTAAAGGATTGGATTAAAGAATGAATATTTTTTAACATTGCTATGAATGGTGCATTATATGAAACACATTAATTGATGTATTGCTCCACCCCTACTTGTTACCCACGTGTCGCTTAACAATGAACCCTAAATATTTTTACGTGCCTTTGTCTTTATGCCAGGTTAAGATCCTAAGATGCGAAAACAATGCTAGCATCTTTGTCAGACGTCAACAGTGAACATTTAAAACCTTAATAATGTCTTGTACGATTCTGCTATCCATCAGTAACTGCGAGTCTTACACATAAATGCCAGTGACGACACACGTCCCGATTCAGTTCTCCAAATAGACCCGGCAAGCGATCGTTAAGGCTGTGTTACAAAGCAAACAAGGGGTCGTAATATCGTTTGGTACATGGACAGAACGTGCACGGGGACTCTGAACGTTGTCCTCACGCTTTGTTTTTAGAAACACGATCAATAGTAAAGTGCATAGAGGAAACTCCGCATATAGAGCAACATCCCTGTTGTACTACGAATTTAAACATCGCACTCACAGCTTAATCAGGCGCTTTAAACCCTACAACCTGTCGCCATACATCACTGCGCGCCATACCCATGCGCATACCCATGCGCATACCCATGCGCATACCCATGCGTATACCCATGCGTATACCCATGCGTATACCCATGCGCATACCCATGCGCATACCCATGCGTATACCCATGCGTATACCCATGCGAATACCCATGCGCATACCCATGCGCATACCCATGCGCATACCCATGCGTATACCCATGCGCATACCCATGCGTATACCCATGCGTATACCCATGCGTATACCCATGCGCATACCCATGCGTATACCCATGCGTATACCCATGCGAAACCCATGTGCATACCCATGCGCATACCCATGCGCATACCCATGCGTATACCCATGCGCATACCCATGCGTATACCCATGCGTATACCCATGCGAAACCCATGCGCATACCCATGCGCATACCCATGCGTATACCCATGCGAAACCCATGCGCATACCCATGCGCATACCCATGCGCATACCCATGCGCAACCGCCTCCGCGGGAATGCGCTGGAATGCTCACCTTGGGCAGATTGACGTCTGTGATGGAGCGCAACACCAAGACCTCCTCGCTCTCCTCAGGGAACTTCAGCTTCAGATTCCCGGCCGCCGTGAGAACGGACTTGACAGCTCGCATCCCGTAATCGTAGTGGTGCTGGGAGGACAGCTACCGCAGGGCAACGGAGGCCGCGGTGAGAGAGGCAGGTTATGGGAATCAACGTTATGTATATTCATAGACAAAGATCCCTCACGTAGCCTTGACAGACTGTTGGGGCAAGTGCTGTTAGCGAGTAGCACCTATGAAGGCCGACACGGGACATGACGGGGGGGGGGGGGGTGTCCAGCACCACGCCCGGCCAACTTTTTTTCCCTAGAGGCGATGTTTACACACCACGCAAGGTACTCCCTTGAGGCTGAGTAGAGCTAGGGGAGGCCCAGGACCGGTATAGATAATCGTCACTGGTGTTGGCCGTGAGCGGGAATCGAACTCGGGTTGCTGGGTTCATAGCGCAGCGCGCTAATCGCTACACTACCGTGTGTGTATGTATATTTATATATCTATATACATATGAGGGGCATCAACGGTTGAGAGCCATGTATGAAAAGCAGTCGCGGATTTGCCTTTCAGCGTCTGTATGTCATGGAATTAATTTGAGTACATCTTGCATCCGGGGTTGGTGCTGTCGCGGAGTGCTTGACTCACAATCAAAAGGTTATGAAATTTAAACCCCAGTCAAGAGGTCAAATCAGACCGTCGCTCCTCCCGGGAGGTCAATAAAATAAGTTCCCAACGTGGGATGCCAATGGAATGTGGAACACCCACCAAAGAAGAGAAGTGCCTATCACATATTTCAGTATGGAGACCTCCATTTTGTGTCTCCACAAACACAAAAAAACTGTTTTCGTCTATCACCCCATTGGCTTTCCGGACCGACATTATCCAGCAGCATGTGTTTAAGCAAGAAACACCTGTAACCAGTTTTAACCTTCTGGGTCTCATCAGCAGTCAGGCTTGTTAATACATGCTGCTGGGTTGCCAGATGTTATTGACAGTAGCTACTCCAACTGAACGACAGGGCCATGTTCAACACAAAAACAATACTGCATAGAGGGAGAATCAAGCCCGCGGCTACTGATGTTGGGGACTAGTCAACCCTCATTGGATTTTGGATGAACTTCCTGTTGCAGCACTGCACGGATGGATGGGTGGGGACAACCGAACTCCCATACAGATGAACAAAGGAAGTACGCAACACGCAAGCCAAAAAGGCTGGTTTAATGTCACCTGTTCTGAGCACAGGCGGTAGGTGGCAACCACCTTGGCTGCAAGACTGCGCGCGTTGACAAAGCCCATGGAGAAGAGGGAGATCTCAGCGATGAGAGTGTAGTCTGGCACCATCATGGCCACCGTCCTGAAGAGAACCTGACAAACACCATGTTTCATTGCAGTGTTAGCGGCAAGACCTGCTTGTGCGCACGTTGGTAGCAATCGGTCATCTGTGGCGTGGTGACGTGCATCCTGTAGTTGAGCACTTGATACAAGGCTGCCGGAGCCCGTAGATTTCATCGTGCTGAGCTCCAAGGTGGCCAGCATTTTCGGCGCTACAGCAAGTAGAATTTTTTCTGGTAGGAACCTCCTGGTTACACCAGCCCACAGGGGATTATTGTGTCCGTCCATCGTGCACGGAGGGGCTGGGTGGGGAAGGAGGGGCTGGGTGGGGAGGGGAGGGTGGGGAGGGGCTGGGTGGGGAGGGGAGGGTGGGGAGGGGCTGGGTGGGGAGGGGCTGGGTGGGGAGGATTGGGCTGGGTGGGGGGTGGGAGGGGTGGGACTGGGTGGGCAGGGGCTGGTCACCCTGTGGTGCCCTTATAAAACTCAACATTTAACCGACTCACGCCGGCTTGTGCCCGCCCTCACAGTCGGGCATATTTGCGGAATACACCACGCCGCCGTTGACCCTGGCCATTGACTGAGCAACCCAACGTTCCTACCAGCTCCCTCCGCAGGAATGTGTTTATTAGTTTGTGTCAATGATGGCTCACCCAACGGGGGCCAGCATAGCATGGGCTGCTCGGCCAAAAAAGAGTCTGCCTTGTTCATTATAAGAACCATTCTCCGAAGACAAAAAAAAAAGTTTTCCCTTTACTCACTGAATAACTCTCGCACTGTGAAGTAGGAGTTTGTTTAAATCTAAAACAAGTTAGGGAAGCGACCCAGTGAGTGATGTTCAGCTCTGCCTCATTAAATCCTTGCCAGTCACATTTAAAAGAAGAATGCACACGAAGGCAGCTGGTGGCCATGTAAATTATCCATCTGGAACTGCACAGCAAGATCGAGCGGCAATTAGATCAAAACAGGGACAAATGCTTGTGTCTTGGGTTCAGCAAATCATAATTTTACTGCATGTCAAAGTAAGTGTGCTCATCCTCAAATAAGCATTTGACTGCATCCATATCTGTTGCTGCGCCTAGCCCAATGATGAAAACTCCACATTCACACGGCAGAAGGCATTCTTTCCGTACGACAATCACTCGTGACTGCCCACAAAATGTTGTTGAATCTCTTTCGGCACCTCCGATTAGCACGGCCGGCTACGTGCGGCGCGAAAAAAGAGTTCAACAAACATTGACCTCAAACGGACAGCTTACATTTGAACTTGTAACCTCCCTATTGTGAGTTGAGGTGTCTCCCCACAGCACTGCCCATCTTCCACTATTTCCTCAGCTCAGATCTAACTATTGTGCCACAACTCTCGATACAAAAACAAACTAATGTCCCCATGATCATGACAATGGCAGAGCCCTTAACTAGATATTAATTTCAACCAAATACCCCAAGACCAAAACTCCTGATTAAGACTCATTCCCACAACATTTTGGGACAAATTGGGTGATGTTGACACATCGCAGGATGAGTGGCAATATGTCAAAGGGCGAATGTTCAGTTAAAATTCAACTTTATAAAACACAGATGACCAAAATGCAAAGGAAGCATTGAAAGATTAAATGCACTGCACGTCATGGGGACAATGTAGAGAAATGGTTTCATCAGGGTCAGTCACCGATTCTATTTAAAGTTATGGATTGCTCCTCATACGTCTTATCTGAGAAAATATATTGCATATACTCTGTGCTTAATTTATGGAGTAAATGCTTGCCTTTTTGCACTCACATCCAACATCTGCAGTCAAAAGGCATACATTTCCTGCAATACTCTGATAAAACTAAAAACTTTAATTTTTTATTTTACCAGGTTAGTCCCACTGAGCTATATGGGTATTTTTCAGAAACGACCTGCCCACGAATGACAGCCCAATGAAGTGGCCTATCATGTGGAAATTTATAGCAGGCAAAAAAATGTAAAAAATAGTTTAATGTCGAGGGAAAAACCGGAACACCTGGAGAAAAATCCACGCAACCACGGGGAGAGAGTGACACGCAAATTTCAAATACAGACATCTGGGTCGGGATCGAACCCACGACATCCTGTATACCAGACGAGGTTGTTAATATCTGATTGATGTGTGTACCCATATAATTAGGTACACTAGAGTTGATCGATCAACAGGCCACTTTCAGTGGGGTAAAGTGTGAGCACTCTGAGCTCTCCGAGACGTCTGGCAAGCGTGGACGTGTCGACCGAGTCCTGCCCACATGGGGAAGTCTTGAGCGCCTTCTTGAGTGGAGGCCCTTCTGCCAGCAGTGGCGTCGAGCAAGCAATTGCAGGGCTGCACCTTTACCTGTTATAGGAATATGTAAGCCTATTGGCTCTATTTAAAATTCCGAGTCAGACAATGCGTGCATAATCAGAGTACGCTCGTTCTGCTTATGTGCAGCTTCGAAACGATGTGCAGTTTTAGAGAAACACATTTCCACGTTGAAGACACCAATGCATGCCTGACCAGCGGATGTTAATCCTCCCGCATACCAGGCGACGCAGTTAACATTTAGCCACGGCGGCGCCCCTGCCGTAGAGGAACGGTTGGCACACCACCGGGCTTGTAACCCAGAAGACGCCAGGTCGTTCTACTCTCTCGGCACGGCAGCTGAAACAATGGGCGAGTCTTTTGAATCCCTCTGTTTCCGTCTGCTCAGTCACATAAATGGGTGCCCCACAGTGAATGGACAGGTCATTTGTGGTCGAGTAAAGTAGTGGGCACTCCCACCGATGCAATGTCTGCTTATACGAGTCGACTGAATCCCCTACAAAAGGGACAGCTTGAGCTAGCTCTGATGGAGGCCTTTCTGCCAGTAGTGGCATGTGCAAGAAAACGCACGGCTGCACTTTTACCTTTTTACTCCGTCTAAAGAATATGTTGTTGGGGTTGCCTGTCTAACAAACGGCTCCTCAACACAATCAAATTCACGCGTGGCTCTGCAACTCGCCACGTTGTTTAAAAAGCTAATTGAAACTCGGTTGACTGTGCACGCAACACGCGCTCCGATTGGATCGGGCTGCGAGGCCGTCAATGTAACTTGTGCTCTATCGTGCCTGAAATATGTTTATGCATTCGTCCGTTTGTCACGCGCAGCCAGCGAAGGGCCGTTGCGCCAAACGTGTGAACTGCTCTTGGCTGCCATACGCCGGCGTCTCGAGTCACTTTGTTTGATCCACGAATCACGAGGAAGGGCGACCAAAGGGGGATGGCGCCTTTCCCTTTGAGGGTCGCAGTCCGATTCGAACGTCGACCGACAACCCAAGTGCACAATTCGCTGCAGGAGTTTTGCGCATCAAATGGGGTGACGTGTTCACAAAGTGACACAGCCATCTCCCTCGAACTGAGCTCCCGTCGATCCCTCGGAGACCGGTCGCAGATGCAATGGTGACATTTCTGACGAACTAAAAACCATCGAATGTTTATACATGATGACTAAGAAATGTTTGATAAATAAATAAATTGGCATCCTCTGCTCTAACTCCGTTTGAGACTAGGCTCGAAAGAAAGCTGTCTCTGGTGTGGACCAATCAGTTTCAAAGGCAATGCACATATGATCAGAGTATGTTTTTTCTCTGCATTCTGACCACAAGTATTGCGATGCAAATGTAGGTAAAAAAGCAAAACAAACCGTTTGTAAAGGTCCAGATTCTGCAACTGCTTTCTCACGCCCCTGATAGCAAAAAGGACCTCGCTGCCAGACGGAGTGAGTACAGTAAAACCTTGGATTGCGAGCATAATTCGTTCCGGAAACGTGTTTGTAATCCAAAGCACTCGTATATCAGTTGTGATCACGTGACGCTCGGCAGACAAAGCGTATACACGTACTGCTCGTATTGCAAGACCTCGCTCGTTTATCAAATTAATATTTGTTAAAACAAATTTGCTCGTCTTGCAAAACACTCGCAGGCCAAGTTACTCGCAATCCAAGGTTTTACTGTATTTAGCCTCCTCTTCCACGTCGGCCTTAAAAAATTGGAAGCGGCGATTACCCGGACATTACTCCGACCCACCAAGAGTGACCTGCCCGTTGGCATGCGGTTGCACCCATTTGAGCTGCAGAGGCGTGTGGATTGAATAAACCTGCACACTTGTTTCAACTGCTGCACAAAGGAGATCAAATCAGCGGACCTCAGGCCTGCACGTCCAACGTGCTCACCGTCACGCCACAGCCAGTCAGTAATTTGCAAATATATTGCCGTGCAACATTTAAATAATGCAGCAATAGTACATTTGAAGAATGTAGCGTACACAGAAAAGTTGGCGCAATTTAAGTAACACAATGCATAGCACAGCATGACCCCGGTTTAACCTGTTGGCACAAAGTTGTTGTGGAAGCAGGTGCCATATCAGCAAGGCACACAGAAGCCTTATTGTGCCCATTGGTCACATTATAACAACACAGATGTGGGTACACATGCTGGTCACGGTGCAATTATCTACTAAAACCAAACATGCCCCTTAATTTTATAAAACTTCACGTTGATTTTCTTTTTACAGAATTCAAATGCCACGAAATATTACTTTTTGCATGACAGCAGCATTGAGATACATTTAGTGAATGTGATAAGTACACACTCCAGCACTAAAAACTGAATTAGGTTTTTTGGCAAAATAATTTGACACATCTGCCCAACAGTTAAAGTTAAAATCAGAAATGCTGTATCTGATGTTTAACAAGGAAGGCACACATGCAAGCGTCAGCCCTTCTCCAGCTAGTCTTGCCTTCATTTGGCTCCATTAGTCCTGGTCACCGTCACAGAAGACTACAAGAAAATAATTTGAAGAGTCATAAATGTCAAGCCAACTGACAGTGGCCTACAGCATAAACATGCTTGCCTTCCACATCACATCCCCCCAGCCCCCCCCCCCTCCCCCACCAGGAGTGCCGCGGTGGCGAGATGTTAACTCCCTCGCCTGGTATGCAGGAGGTCGTGGGTTCGATACCAACCCTGAAGCCTGTATATTTGGAGTTTGCATGTCTGTCACC